AAGTTGAAGTCAAAATTGTATTTTCCTTTTAATGTTAGTCTTGTGTTTTTATGCCATAAACAGTTGAAAAGGTTGCAGAAAAAAAATCAGTCATAGACATTCATTTCTTTTATAAAATAAACATTGGACTTTGTCATGTTGTGGCACGAACGCTTAAAAGAGGTCGAAGAAGACTTATCTATGGATTAACTGATAGTTAAAACTTGTTGGACACTTAGTTAGGCGAGTCAGAAACATGATGATGATTAATTCCATCCCAGAAAACAGTATAGAAAGAAAGGGTTCATGACCTCACCAACGTTCTAGTAACGTCCTCCACAGAAAACAGTATAGAAAGAAGAAAATATGAATTTTAAGGCAACATGATCCTTATATGATTTGTGTAAAATAATGGAGGTAATTATGTCAGGTGGAATTGGGATGAGGATAGTATGACATGACACAGAAATAAAAGGGTGTCTGTAGTGGTCATTGGCTAATGATACAAAAGTTGCCATAAAAAGGAGAACATCTGGACAGCCACCCACTCAAATTGTTATCACTAATTTATCTCTTTTTCAGACCTACCTTGACTGCATACTATTGGAAAATAACTTAAACTTTGCTTATTTTACTTTCCCAAGTTTTGATAGAGATCCAACACAACTTGTGCACTACCCATTGTCACTCCTCATGCACCTTTTCCCAACAATAATATACCTCTTCACCAAAACATAATACTTTCAATCAATACTAGTATACTATATGATGTGCTAAAAATAATGTTTAACTCTCTTCCTTCTATATTTTTTTTCTTCTCATGTTAAGACATAATATGACATCATTGAGTTTAAGTCCATTTAATCTTAGTCTAATTAATCTTCATTGATCTTATTTATATATGGTTCTTCAATGTTGCATAATATAGCAACACAATAATGAGATAAAAGTGACATCTGGAAAATTTAGGCAAAAATTGTTTGATTTTTTGGTTAGTAGTTCTTCCCATTACAAAGGCAAATGGGATGAGTTTGATTTGGTCAATAAGTTTGGACATATCAGAGGCCAAATAATTCAAGTCAGAAAACAAAGTAGTGGAAGCTTAATTAGCACATGAATAGAACAAAACTATAGTACGAATAATCACCGACAAAAGAAAATGTTGTAGTCATCGTTCCCGCGTTTACACATATCTTTCTTTTGTCTTGTTAATACACTTCAAAAGTCATGAGGGTAATCTCTTATCATGTTAAGTAAAGCTCATTAGATAAATTACTCATTGTATTTCTAATTCTTTAATTTAATTTAATTAAAGTGTTAGATGGATTACTTATAGTTAAAGAATTAAGAGTGTTTTTTTAATTAAAGAAGGGTAACTGTGTATATTCTCCTGAGATGTCTAATGCAATCTCAACCTTCTTTTTTTTTTCTTACTTATTGGTTTCTTTGTCTATGTTCTTAGTCTGGTTAGCAACTGATTTTGATATGTTACAGTTTTTCCATAAAATTGAAGTTATTATTTTTCATTTTTATCTCATTCATGTATACTTTTCATTTGGTTGCATTCATTTTGAATTTTGGATTCATATTTTATTTGATAATTTGGAATGGTGTTAACTTTTTTTTTAATGAGGTAGGACATAAGAATTAATATTTTGGAATATTGAGATTATCTAAAAGATTACTATATTTTAATTAGAGGTGTAAATATAGGTCAAGATTTGTCATTGTTCTAATTTGGATCCAAAATTGATTGGAGTTACTTAATTTTAAACCATGATATGAAATAAGTGAGATAAAACTTGATAATCTGATTTTTTTTTCATTGTAATATATCAATTTATATTTAATCATCAAAAAAGAGAAAGAAATATAAAATTTAAAGTAAGTTATATTTAATGAATAGATATTTCAAATTAACAAATTTATTTTAAATACAATACCATATTATATAAAATTTTCTTCATTAAATAAACAAGTTTTATGATTAAAATAAAAAAAATTTGAAAAAAAAATATATTTAAAAAAAAATATTATACATATTGTGAACCTGCCCTAACATAATAAGGTCTATTTTAAAAATCTCAATTCTTCCAAATTAATTTCAAACAGAACATACAAATTAGGTTGGGGCAATAAATAATTAGCACTATACACAAATCAAAATCAAATCCTCTAATCATATACTTAAAAGACAAAGAGTTGTTCTTTTAGATTTTCTTTTTTATAAAAAAGAAGGTGAATTTTATTCTTTTCCTACTTTTTTTTTTGTCAGTTTAAAAAGCATTTAGGGTGCTATCGGAAATTATCCCTAACCAATACATATAATCTTTAATTAAGAAATTGGTGATATTATGGAGGCCTTTCAAGTAACTTTTTTGTTGAATAAACACCACAAAGAAATGTAATTCATAAAGTAATAAGTTATTACTTTTGAAATATTATCACTCCTTTCTCACGAAAACATTTTTAATAGACTTAATTAAACTAATTTTATTAAATCTTAATTTCGTTTTTTATTGCTTGAAATGCATCATTATAGAATGAGGAAAGTTGCTTTTTTTGAAGTTAGACTTTTAATCAAAAGTTATTGTATGAACTAAGCCATTTGGTTGGATTGTTTAGTCAAAACAAAACATCAATGCTCATTTGAAAATAATAAAATCCATATGTTGGCACGAATTCACTCACAATTCACCAAATAAAGTAATTAATTATAGGAGAGAATAATTTGATATTAATTAAATTACTAATAAATAGTTTTATTTTGCATAAAATTACTAACGTTAACATAAATTAGTAAAAAAAATGACACATCTAGAAGAATCAATAAAAAAAGGAGAAACCAAATTCTTTTCAAAAAAAATTACTCTATTAGTTAAGTATATCTTTTAACTAGTCATCATAAATTAATAAATATATTATATATGATTATTTGTAATAATAATAGTATGAAAAATATTTAATTAATTAAATTATTAATAATATCGAATTGGTATATTAGTCGTCTCATTTTCTAAAATGAATGAGGTATTTAATATTTTTTGCCCATGATCGTTGTTAATCAATACCCAATGCATTAAGAGTACATTAGGAGTAGATGACTAGTTATTTAAAGAGATATGAAAATATTTTAACAGATTACATTGTATTTTTTGTGAAATTAAAAAAAAAATATTTGTTAATAATTGTGACAAAAATCTTAAATGTTGTATAAAGGGAAGGAAGTAAGTGTTGTCTATAATTAGCTTAGTTTAGTCCAAAATAATTAGGGAGTGTTAGAAACCTTATACATCAAGTCATACACATAAAAACAAACACTATTTCTAATTTAAGTCTTATTATAAGTCAAATTATATATATATATATATATATATATATATATATATATGATATATATTATAGTATAATATATATATATCATGTCTAGATAACTTTTAGTATGTTTTATATTGTTATTTAATATTAATTGTTACAGATAATAAATTTGATAAATATAATCAATTTTCACATTAAAATATATTTTTATTGACTAAATGCACATAAAATTTGAAAAAACAATTATATACAATCAATAATTTCATGTAATAAAAAACTATATAATAAATTTGACTTTTTTATGTCTACATTAAGAAATCATATAAAATTACTTTATGGGCCATTAAATTCTAAAACATTTTATAATGATTGAAATTAAGGTAAAAAGCATAAGATTATAGCAGTTGAAAACAATCGATGATTTGCACAGGAAGAGAAAAGAAGGTCAAAACAAGAGGAAAAATTTCCATGAGAATGAAGAGAGGAAAAAGGAAAAATTGAGAGATGGAGGCCAGATTTCAGGCTGAGAACCATTACTAATCACCTTTACTCATTCACACACAATTTCACAACTACACTCTGCATTCATTTGCATTCATCTCTATCTCTTCCACTTAACATATCACAACCTCTTTGTCCCATTCCTTCATCTTCTATTAATTTTGTTCCCAAGGAAACCCATTGCCAATTCCATTTTCCAATTCCAACCCTTATATTCAAATTAACAACCAACCAAAGCACACACATTAATCAACCTTTTCACACACGGATATTTTACTAATTCTGGATCGACTTCCTCGGTTCAAGATCCAATGGCGGTTGCTACCAGAGGAACCAGGGGTGGATCTACTTTTCGTGGTCTCTTCTCCTTCCGGATCTTCATCTCTGCCATGTTCTCTCTTCTCTTCATCGCCACCCTTTCGGTCCTATTCACCAACAACCCCTCCACATCCCAAGATGTATCTGTAAGTTGTTTATTTTTTCTTTCAGCACTTTTCCTTGCCCTTTAGTGTTTTCGTGCCAAATTTTCGATTTGATTGAAACCCGTTTTTAATTTGCGAAATTGGAGACGACGCATTGTGTTAGATTCAATTTAAAGCTTAACCCAGATGAAAGGGTTTTAAATTGTGGCTACAGTCGAGATTGTGATTGATCCTTGATATTATCCTCTGGCTCCGCGTCACGCTACGGTCCTCTTTACATCAGCCGCGCTTCCATGTCTCCACTCATCGTCCAGTCCATGCCTGGGTATTCGCGTCTCTTCCTCGTGCACCCCTTACTCTTCCCTGCTGTTCTACGTGCTCCTGCATCTGCGGCAGCGACTCCAGCCACCTCTCGCTCTCTACTTAGGACTCGGGCCATCAAGACATCGACTCCAGAACACATAGGTCCTCATGTTCCTCGCTCGGCGCCCGGGCAAGGATGCGTCCAGGAGCCCGCGTACACGCCGTCGTCGGCACCCACCCGCCACTTCGTTTGTATTCACCGCTCTTCTGCTCTTCCTCTCCTCGCGTACCAATCACGTCGACCCAGGGCTCTATTTCTCTGTGTTCCCCCGCGACTCCTCCTTAGGTTCCCTCGCGTTTAAAACCTCCTTGTGCCACAGTTCCCCTCCTAGTGCCCGCCAGCGGGCGGCGTCTAGGGGCGCGGGCCCTTCCCGCCCGCCGCGCGTCCCCGGGCGAGCGCTGTGCGGCTCGCGTCCGGCGCCGGTCGGCCGACGTGCGAGCTGCCCCGGGTTGCCATCCCTCGGGTACCGCCAGCTGCTCCTATGGCTCTCCCCGCCTCTCTCCCCTGGCCGGCGCCGTCGGCGCGCGACTTCGGCGCCGGGGCCGCCCTTTCTCGGCGGCCCGGCCAGCGACCGTCTCCTCGCCGCTTCCACTTCTCGCCAGTCAGGGTCCCGGACCCGGCCTCTCTCCTGTAAGTCGGTCGTCCGTACCAGCGGCCGCCCCGCCGGGCGCCCTCGGCTCGCGCGGGCCCGCGGGTGGGCGCGGCAACTCGCCGCCCTCCCGGCGTAGCCCTTCCGTCCGTGCGTGTCGCTCCGGCGCGGGAGGGGTCCTCGCGCCCGTCGCCCGCGCCAGCGAGGGCCCGTTCCGTAGCCTCTCCGGCTCCTCCCCTCCGCTGTCGCCTCTCTCGTCCTCGCACCTTTTTCCTCGGCGACCCGCGCCGCGGGGCGCCCTCGCGCCCCCGCGTGCCGGCTCACCCCCCCGCGAGCGACGCGAGCCGCGAGGCCGGCGCGGGGGTCGGCGCGGTCCGCTACCGCGTGCGGCCGGGGGGGGGGGCCGCCGGGGCGGCGTTTTATCGTACCTAGATCTTCCCACCACTGGCTATGCACGCGTTCCACTGCCGTCCAAGGCACGACTTTTTGCACGTTGGCCAAATCTGACCCGTCTTAGACCCAGTGATTTGATAACCACCCGCAGCTTAAAGAAATCACATAGCGCCTTTAGTGAATTGCTTATGGGCTTAGCAAGAAGCTCAAGCTTGACATTTCTAAGCAATTGAAGACTTTTGATGAGTTGGCGCACAATTTTTCGGATATTGCAATGAAGCCGGTTTACCAGAAGTCATTGTTTGAGACAGATGGTCCGATTGATGAGGACGCGCTGAAGCAGTTTGAGAAGGAGGTTAAAGAAAGAGTGAAGATTGCGCGTATGATCATTGTTGAGGCGAAAGAGAATTATGATAATCAGTTGAAGATCCAGAAGTTGAAGGATACAATATTTGCTGTTCATGAGTCACTTGCGAAGGCAAAGAAGAATGGGGCAATGGCGAGCTTGATTTCAGCCAGATCGATTCCCAAGAGCTTGCATTGTTTGGCGATGAGACTGATGGGTGAGAAGATTTCAAATCCTGAGAAATATAGAGATGAATGGCCGAAGCCAGAGTTTGTAAGACTCCACTCCTTTATCATTATGTGTAATTCTCGGACAATTAATAGCTGTGTCTTGGTTGGTGAGATCTGTTGTGAAGAATGCATTGGAACCTGGAAGGCATGTTTTTCCATGTTGTTGCAAACCAGGATGAATGTGGGGGCAATGAAGGTTTGTGTTTAAGATGAGCCTATTGAAGGGCGTGCATTTTGGAGGTGAAAAGCAGTTGAAGAATTTGCATTCTTAAACTCATCATATGTCCCTATCTTGAGGCAACTTGAGTCAGCAAAAATGAATCAGCCTGAAAATGCAACAAATGATTCAAACATGAAAAATGCCAAGTCCCTGTCCATGATGGATCACCTTCGATTTTATTTGCCAGAAATGTACCCTAAATTGTATAAGATCTTGCTTTTGGATGAAGATGTTGTAGTTCAGAAAGACTTGACAGGTTTGTGGAACATTGACATGGAGGGAAAGGTGAATGGTGCTGTTGAGACCTGTTTTGGTTCTTTCCATCGATATGCCCATTACATGAATTTCTCTCATCCTCTGATCAAGGAGAAATTCAATCCAAAAGCTTGTGCTTGGGCCTATGGCATGAATATATTCAATCTCGATGCTTGGAGGCGGGAAAAGTGTACAGATACTTACCAGTATTGGCAGAACTTGGTAAATTTCTTCTTATAGTTAGTTAACTTTTCTGTGCTAATGATTAGGTTCTGATTTACTGTGATCATGTTTGGATAAACTTCTTAACAAGTACATAGAGGACAAACTTCTCCAAAAGCTTATTTAACTTATACATAAGTTAACTTTAGGAGAAATTTTGTTCATTTTGTCTTCTTAATTTCTTCTCATTAAGTGCTTATTGTGAATCTTATCCAAATAGGATCTATGTAACTCTAGTTTTGCCAGAAAAAGTTTCTTGAGTAATGCTGAATCTATTCTTCTGTACTGTTACTAAATGCGTTTTTCTGTTATCAGAATGAAGATCAAACTTTGTGGAAAGCAGGGATTTTGCCACCAGGTTTGATCACCTTCTACTCCACAACCAAGTCATTGGACAAATCCTGGCACGTGCTTGGCCTGGGTTACAATCCCAGCATTAGCATGGATGAGATCAACAAAGCTGCAGTCATTCATTACAATGGAAACATGAAACCCTGGCTTGATATTGCTTTGAATCAATACAAAAATCTGTGGACCAAATACGTGGACAATGATATGGAGTTTGTGCAGATGTGCAATTTTGGCCTATAGTTGAGATCAACTCCCAACTGTCATCATGATAAAAGCTTTAGATAACATGTCAAATGTTGTTTCACCATATTCTTTAGAATCTATGTCCATGTTAAATGTAGCCTGTCAGAGAAGTTGTGTTATCACCAAGTAAAATATACTAGGCAATAATTTTGATAGACTGTATTTGGAAATTTACACGAAGTAGCTTTTGCTTTTTCTTCTTCTGTATTTTGGAGCATATTTATCATGTATTGCTGATGATGGTAGTGTCACAATTTAAATTAACGAGAAGTCACTACTTTTCATCTTTTAAACACATCTACATGTTATTTTTTGTAGGTTTGTGACATGCCTCCTTGTATTTTTAATATTTATATGTATTATAGGTAAAAGCCATGTGGTAAAGAGACTTTTCAAGCATTTGGTTCACTTAGCGCATTTTAAACCAGCGATGTTTTCACGATCCAAACTGACATATCCGGTTGTGGCATGGGAATAGATAAATCTGAGAGTAGATCAACAAATCCCTTTGTCCAAGCTCTCGAGATTTTATCAGTCATTCTTGTGGTTGTTGATCGCTTCACAAAGGCGACACACTTTGATACACTGCCAACTTTTTTTTCAACGCCACTAAAGTAGCAGAACTTTTTGTCAACATGATTTGCAAGCTACTTCCTCCTTCCTCATTCTTTCTTCCTCTTCTTCCTTTATTTTTCCAATTTCATTTTGATTTTTCATCAACCCAACACTCACTGTGTCAATTAACACAAATGCATATTAGAACCAAATCACATTCTCCATTCTTCTTCATCATTATTATCACTTTCTTCTAGTTACAACACACTCAATACCCACACACAACAAATCACTTCATAATGACGCAGAAAAAGAAAAAAATACAATGATTATGACGAACTAATAATAGAACTAAATCACGTTCTCCATTCTTCTTCATCATTATTATCACTTTCTTCTAGTTATAATACACTTAATACCCATACAACAAATCGCTTCATAATGACACAGAAAAAGAAAAATTTACAATGACTATGATGAACTAGGAGACGTGGTAATGAGTCACAACGATGGTGAATGAGTGTGGTAGTGACTATCTTAGTATGACAATGGTGGAGAAGGCAAAGGACAAAATCTTCACGCGTGAAAGGAGAAGCACAACACTACTAACACTGGTGGGCGTTACAACGGTCTATGGTGGCCATATACATTAGGGAAGAAGAAACCCCTTTGCTCTGAAAAAGAAGAAGATCAAAGAAGGAAGCATTGCATCAATAATTCAGGTTGAAGGTGGCAATAGTAGCCGACAATGTCATTGGCTACTCTATGTAGACAAATGACATCAACAACACTATGGTTGCGAATGGTTGTGATGGAGAGACGGTGGTCCAATGGTTTAGGCATGAAAGAAGATAAAGATGAAAAAGCTTGGCCTCCTTTCTACACCCTAATTTCTACCACTTATGCACCTACTAAGTTACTTAGACGAGAAATTTGTTGCTCTTTCTATCGACGAATTTACTAACGAATAAATCGATCGATAATAAGAATTTTAAATTATCAGTAAATTTTATCTATAGATTTTAAAATTTCTTACCTACGAACTTTTTCAATGAAAAAATTTGTTGGTAATACATATCTTATTTATCAACGGAAATGAAATATGTATTACTGACAAATTTACTAACGAATTTTCTTTTTATAATATAGTTAAAATTTCAAAATTCGTCAGTAAAATCTAGTTCAATTTTTTTGACGAATTCATTTACATCAGCAAAATTTCGTCGATAATTTCAAAACCTTTTATAATGTAAAACACATCATAATTCATCTTTTGGATGTCAACATAGTTCATAACTCAAAATATTTTCTCCATTTTTTTGTCTTTGATTTCTTAATATAATAGTACAAAAATAAGTTTTTAAGTCTAAAAATTTAAGTCTAATATCAAAAAAGTAAACTTAAAAAATATGTGATGATAATTTTATAAATAAAAGTGACTTGTTTAAGCCTGTCAATCTTAAAAGAGACTTAAATAATCACTTTTTAAGTCTAATGTTGAGTAACATACTTAAATAGTTAAATTTTAAATCTGTTTAAAGACTAATAGACTTAAATAATTATATTTTAACCTCTGTTAATTTGCCAGCAGACTTCAAATTTCCCATTTGCAACCTTTCAAGACTATGAGCTACCTCCAACACAATACTTTCTCACTTACGCAGAACAGATTTGCTAGCCCATCTCCTCATCTAGGGCCATGTCCACTTCCGATTGCGACGTCGACAAGGGGACCAACGACGGTGGCATGGGCACCAACGACGGCAAGTGCAGCAGCAAAAAACTTTCTCCAGATTTCTTTATTCCATTAGGATTTGGAGGTGGGAAAAGGGAGGAAAGAAATTTGGAAGTGCAGTCCTTACATCATCAATATTATAGTTAGATAATTTTACTACATAAAATTCTGCATTCACTGTCCATACCATAACTGTTGTCACACTGATATCCTTAAAGCTTGGTTTCAAATTGTAAATTTAGATTCTACATTTGAATTACTTAATTATATTGCATCTTTTATTTCCAAACATCATTTTAAGCTTATTCCAATTTTTCATGTGCATTTTCCGCACTAACATTATAAAAGGGTAAAACTTAACTTTTTCTTTTAAATGTATTGTTTTCATCTTCACATGTAACTTTTCTTTTATAACTTTTAAATTGAATACATACTTTTATTCTTCATAAATATACTTATTTTAAGAAAGTTCAAAACTAAATCTAAACTATCAAAATCTAATTAAATATTAAGAGGTGTAATTATTAAAAGAAAAGTATATGATAATGAAGTTACAATTAAAATAAACACATAACAGTTAATTGTTTTTATCTTTATAAAAAAATATTATACAAAAGACGTAAACTAAAATAAAAATACAAAACTAATACTTTAATATCAAAGAACAAAAAAGACTTACTTTTATTTCTTTACTATGAAACAAGAATGGAGTGGAAGATCAACAAAAACAGTTAATAAATTAAGAAACAGAAACAAAAAAAACTAGCATTACATTTTCTCTTTATATATATATATTAATAATAAAAATTAGTGAAAATTTATTTATATTTAGATTTATACTTGGATTTCTAACCAACCACAACCACGAGTAACCATTTACAACCGCCGTTCATCTTAACCATTTATGCTTGCTAATAAATGTCTATATATATATATATTTATATATTTATATTTATATTTATTATACAATAAAATTATTAAAATATATATAACAAGTATTATATTTTAGAATTTTAGGTGTTACACTATCACTAAAAGGGGCAACACAATTGGGAACAATTCATAAGAATTAATAGGTTACAAATATAAAAAAGTGAAAACTAGATGGGAAAATGTTGAGAGATAGACTAAAATATTAGTGGAAATCGTGTTTTTACCTCAAAGCTAGCTAGAACAGTTTTGAGTTACAAATAACTTATACAGGTTGGAACATGTATAAAAATAATACACGCTTGCTAATAAAAATAATGTTAGTATAAACAATTGGAAGGATAAAATTCATAATATTTTGAAAAATAAAGGAGAAAATGTTTTGCAAAATTCTAAAAATAAATTATAAATTGAAGGGAAAATAAAATTTAAGTTTAAACCCTTTAGTTGTCTCCATTTTTGTGGGTTTTTCCCATTTTGATCATCTTTTTTATGGAATCCCAAATTAAGTCCTTAAAAGTGCTAATTTGAATCAATTGAACTCTTGCCGTTAAATTTACTTAACGAGGTTATGTTTTTGCACATGTGGGAGGTTGATGTGTCAATTTTTTAAAGCGTGGCATGCTGAGAGTTGAAACGTGAATTTTGGTAAAATGTAATAATATAATATTAGGGAATTCTAAAATGGGATTTAGGGTTCAATGAAATAGAATTTGGGATTCAATTTGGGATTAAATCTGAGAGGAGAGTGCAATGTGAAGTCTTTCAATGTGAAGTCCTTAGTGGAGAGGATAAAGACTTCATTAGGGATTTCGAGCTTCGTGATTGGAGTTTTGACGTGAATCGTGAAGTGGTTCGAGTGAAATTTGGTGGAAGGTTAGTATCTCTACTATAAATAGATATGAATTTAATATTCGATGCTTTTTGTTGTTATCTGGGGATGCTTTTTTGAATGTGGGGTTGGCGTTGTCTGAAAATGTGGTGTTTGCATATTGCACTTGTGGTCCCCTATGTCCCCCATAGTTACAATCTGTTTGTTATGTCATTATCACTTTAATAAGCGGTGTTTTTTGTCGTTTTAGGGTTATTTCTAGGTGTAGAATATTCTTGATTGTGTTGTGTGTGATGGGCGATATATAGGTTGTTATTCACCATTTGGGAAAGTTCGTCAATGACGGTTGCCTGAAGTATGAAGGGGAAAGTGATACAATGTATTTTGATCCTGACTTATGGAGTTATTTTATTGTAGTAAGTGTAGTCAAAAGTCTTGGGTACGATGGATTTAAGGACTTGTGGTTTTCTGTTGGATGTGGTCTTGTATTAGATGGTAGGCTAGAAGCCTTGTGTGATGACGTAGGTGTCATGCATATGGTCACTTTAGCTCAGTTAAATGGACGAGTTCATTTATATGTTGTGCACACTATGTTTCAACCTGATGTGATTCACATGATTGAATACAATGTTGATGAAGGAGGTGACGAAGTTGCACCTGAGGTGAATGAGGGTGGTGAGGAGGTACGTGCTGATGGTGAGAGGATAGAAGTTGTTGTTGGTTAGGGTGAGATGATAGAAGCAGATAAAGTTGAGGGTGAGAGGATAGAGGTTATGGAAGTTGATGGTGAGGCTGAGAGGACAGAAGCAGATGAAGATGAAGTTGAAGGTGAGAAGATAGAGGTTAAGGAATGTTATGTTGAGGCTAAGAGGACAGAAGTAGATGAAGATGAAGTTCAGGGTGAGAGGATAAAGGTTGAGGAATGTCATGTTGAGGCTGAAAGGACAAAAGTAGATGAAGATGAAGTTCAGGGTGAGAGGATAGAGGTTGAGGAATGTCATGCTGAGGTTGAGAGGACAGACGCAAATGAAGTTGGGGGTGAGAGGATAGAGGTTGAGGAATGTCATGCTGAGGCTGAGAGGATAGAAGCACAGGATGGTGAGGCTTACACAATAGAAGTAGAAGACTTGAGGATATAGAAGTAGAAGTTCGTGATTAAAGTACATCACGTGATGGTGATGATGGTGAGATGAATAGTGAGGATGTGTTAGTAAACATAAATTTGCAATGTGAATTCAGTGAAAGTTCTGGTAATATGAAGGTTGAGGTTGAACCTTTTTTACTTGGGTCTGAATCATATATGGAAGAAGATGAGATTAGTGATTCCAGTTTGTTCAATGATGAATGGCAATCTAAGGACTTAACTTCTCCTATCATAAGTGATGAAGAAAGTGAAGATGAAAAGGGGTATGGGAATTTTTCTACATTTAGTATGCCAAAAAAAATGATTGATTTCAACTAGGAAGTGGGAACATATTTTGTGCATAAACAAGACATCTTGGATGCCATCAAAAGTTATGCAATAGAGAATGGGAAAAATTTGAAACTTATTAAAAATGATAAAAAAAAGAATAAGGGTTAAATGTTTTGGATCAAAAGGAGAATGTCCGTGGGTGGCATATTTTGGTTTCATGGATGCATTAAAATCATGGCAACTAAGGATTGTGGTTGACAAGCATACATGCAGTAGGGAACACAAGTTGCGGCTATTCAATGCAAAATGACTATTCAATATTCATGCTCCTGTAGAAAATGGAGCATCAGTGGAATACCTTGTGTTCATGCATTGACAACAATGAGGTTTCTCAACATAGAAGCAAAGGACTACATACATGTATGCTTTCAAAAGTCAACGTGTGAAGAAATTTATTTCTCCATTATCTATCCCATTAATGGAAACAACCTATGGGAGGTAACACAATATCCAAATGTCATGCCTCCATCAAAAAGAAATATGTTTGGTCATCCTAAGAAGAAAAGGAGGTTAGAGCAATGGGAGTTGAAGAAAAGTAGCACTAGAATGTCAAAAGGGGGATTACTGAAGAGATGTAGCATGTGTAAGGAAGTGAGTCATAACAAAAAAAAACTACCCGAAGAGAAACCAAGTGCAAGAAGAGGAACAACAACCCAGTTCATTGCTTGAGGGTCAACCACATGAAGAAGAACCACTTCAGACTTGAAGAATGTTATATGTTTTATTAGTAGCAAATGTAATAA